ACCAGTTGAAGATATGAAAACTAAGTTGGTGTAGACTTAAGTATAATCGTTATCTCCTTTCGATGTATATAAATTGGCTGACTTCGTTTTCGCAACTTGGTCGTGCTGTTGGGGAGACCTAGCAAAATGCTCCTTCTCTGAAGCCATCCGCCATAGTAGTTATGCGAAATCCCATCATTAGATAGAAACCTTAGTACAATCTCAAACGTTTCGCCGTCACTCGAGTCGGCATCGTCAGTGAGTCTTGCCATTCTCAGCACCAAACTAAAACTCGTCAAAGAGACAAGTGAAGTCAGTCCCTATACCAGCCATCTCATCTATGACGGGTTGTGGGTTGGTGCTGAGACTGGTAAGATTCATTGACGATGCCGACGAAACTTTTGGCAATCGTCCGACGCTGGAAATTATGATAACTACTTTAGCAGAGGATTCCGGACAAGATGCGTCCAACTAAGTCGCTCTGACAACACGGCTAAGTTGCGAAAACGAGTTTAGCACGCTCCTTAACCAATTAATTTCCATCTAAATCTATTCACCTTATAGTGATCTTAATTATAGCTAGTATGCATAACAATGAGGTTAAGGATATGTAAATCATAACTTTGAGTTTTTTTCCTCTTGTCTTTCCGTATCTAGCTCTGGATACGTTAAACTTAAACTTCACAATTTCCTTGCTTCGCCTGACTAAACTGGCACTTGATAAGTGGAGTCGGCAGCAAGCCGATTTATCCCATCGTCGTCCTTCAATTCCTGTTGAAAAACAGCATTCTCCCTCGAAATCGAACACTGAAAATGTAATGGTGTCGGACAATAAGACGGAGGTTCCCGACGACCGTCAGGTCTTAGATATACCTCGATTGCAAATGCAGTGGTATGTTTCCAGCTAATTAGGGCTAATTGATGTTGATATTAAAATTAAATGGTTATTATTATTACCTAGCTATAAATAGTTGTTTTCCTCTCTCAGTACATCTTATAATTCGCACTATCATAGATTTTTTTCTATGTCAATATCAA